AAAAATAAATAGTTAGATAAAAAGTATTTCTTTCAGAGAGCAAAATCTGAATACAATTTTTATTTTTTGTAAACAGATTCCATCCTTTTACCTTTTTGTGGAAGTTACTTCAGCGCCCTCTTGTGGCATTATAACTCATGGCAGAAAAAAAAACTATAAAAGCAGAGGATGCATACAGTAGGGTTTACAAAAAAAAACATTATTATAAAATGGGTGGTCTTTTTGTAAAGATTGCAGCTTGAAATACAATATCTGTCAAAAACAAAGGAAGCTGCTAATAACTTAATATAAAAAATGGAGGCATAAAGTTTCAGTTAACAGCTTGAAGATCGCTTTTTGATACTTTTATAAGCGAAACTGAAGTCGAAATCCTTGTGGGTCAGTAATGATGATTCTGATGCCTATATTGTGTCTCAAATGCAACGAATACTATAACAACATTGTAACAACATTCAATGGACAATCAGGTTCTCAAAAATAATCTTTGTTAATATGTGGCAGTTTGGGGAAAAAAAAGCCCATCCTTGATCTTCAACGTACCTGAGAGGTGTATTACATTTTTTAAAAATGCACAAGATAAACATTAGACAAGAATAACTCATGGATGATGGATAAATGGGACAGGAGAAATGGATTAATGCTTAGATAGATAGACTGACAAGTTAATGAACAGGCAAAAGAACAAACTGACAGATGAACAACCGCCTCGCATATTCACTTTTACTTTAAGTACAGCTCCTTCTATGAGAATATAGAAATTGTTTTAATCCAGGTTCAGGTTATGAACATAAAGTCTTTCCAAAAAAGTAAAAAAAAAAAACAATCCAAAGAACTTTGTTTCCAAGTTTGAAGACGTTTCCATTCCTATCCAGGAAGCTTTTTTTTTTTACTTTTTTGGAATGACTATGGGATGACTGAGAATCTTCAGCAGCATACAACATAAAGTCTTGAGATTTTATTTTTATTTAAATACTGTTGTTCTAGATGTAACCTCTAACTTATTCCTGAAGCCAAAAGGAAAAACTGACAAAAATGGTAGTTAGGTATAGTCACTTGGCAAATATGCAGGAACAACTACTTTACACACCAAACACTGTAGATCTATTACTATTAGATCTGTTAACATGTTTGTTGGAAAAAGAAAAAAAAACCAGGCCGACCTTATCTAAATCTTAGAAAAGACAAAACTATTAATTACTAGACAGCATCACAGTTTTCTTAACTTGCAATTTTTCACATTTACTGTTTTTGCAAACGCTTTACTACATGATGTCAGGTACATGGACAAGATTAAACATCTGAATAAAAAGCAGCTGAAATAATATCAGAAAATAATAATTAGAAGCATCAGAAAGCCCATTGAGAAAATGATCTGATCCAACTTAAAGAAACTCAGAATAATTTAATGACACATGAATAAAACATATGATTAGATGAATAGGAGTGACAGACATACCTGCATGTTCCTGAGAAGCTGAAATATCTCCATTGTCCTGAGGACAATGTCTTGGACAGTCTCCTGACCGATGCGGCACAGTGAAGACGTGTTGACATCTCTAGGAGCCTGGGTCTGCTGCTGCTGCTGCTGCTGTAGAGGTGGTTGACCAACAAAAGGAGGCACTAGAGGAGGGGTCGTCATGGAGACAGCAGGTCAGGATGCTGAAGGAGAAGAAGGAACAGCAGATGTGTGTTTGGAAGGCGGCTCTGTAGGCTGGTCTACATCAGCACACTTTCATATCCCTTTAATAAAGTGTACAGGAAAACGGAATCAGTATTAACAGCAAACTGAGATAGCATTTGACCAAATCTAACAGTTTAACAGCTGTTAACACTGGATGTTGAAATATAAGCCAGACATCACATATCTATGCATGTTTTACATTTATAAACACTTTTAATGTTAGATTCCAACTTTAGAAGAAAAAAAAAAGCTTCTTTGCAAACATTGTCATAGTAGGCAACGTTAAAATGTTGCTCATGCTAACTTAAACCACACAACTTCCAACCCATTTGTTTCAGTGCCCTCCGATTGACGCCTAGCGATTATAAATGTAATGCATCGCTGAGTTATTTAGAAGTGCAGATTAAATTCCATGTGATGTTACCTTTGTGGTGGAAACGTATTCCTTTCGTTGACATTTCAAACCTTCCACCAACAAACAAGCTCCTAGGCACAGCTGCTGCTAATTGTTTCACAGTATCGCGAGAGTGCACAGTTCCCGAAGTCCCGTAGTAAATTCCAGATTAGATGCGCCACTGTCTCTTCTCTTGCTTTATTTTCTCTGTGGTTGTGGTTTTATTACACGTTTATTTGTTCTATCCATATTTCTATCATCTTTCCATGTGTATTAGAGTTATCTAATATCAAGGAAGGCTTTCAAGTGTTCCTGCAAAGGAGAAAAAAAATCCCTCATGAAAAAGCAGTGCGCACTATTTTAGTTATACTTCATCTTTTTATAAAACTGAGAAACAGCGCTCCCTGCTGGTCAGACACTGGTTTAAGGTGAACATCACCAAAAACAGATCCGCACAAGAGTACATACAAATGCAATTTTAACAAATTATAAAGGCAGACATGTATTCTAGTCATTCTAGCTCTGACGATGCATAAAATGTTTCTTCTTCAAAAAAGATTAAAGAACGAATAATATTTTCAAAAAGTAAACTGTTATTGAGCTGAAATCATCTGTCATCTGAAAATTTCTGTCACCATAACCAAAAGTTATTTTTTTTAATGTAAAAACAAATTCTTGCTTTTGTGCCCACCACTTCCCCATTCAAAAATATTTACTGGTTCACTCTGCAGAACTTTCATGTTTTCCTTCCATTTGTGAGCAACTTGAGAGCTACCCTAGCAGAAACAAATGTGTCCCTTAGCTCCCCACAGGCTAATGGAAAATAGCTAGATTTTAATGCTTTGATTGGGTCAAATCTCACTGGAGGGTAAAATGAGCATCAAAGATCTCCATCCATCACAAGGCAACTCCACCACATTTCTTTTATCATTTTCACATTTGCACATCACATCACCTCTGAGTTCCTTCAGACAGCATATGGTACATAAGAGAAAGCAGCTGCTCTTATTGAGGCTACAGGGACATCAGATAAGAAAGGCATTAGGTTTGTAACACTGAAGTATCAGTAGTGCCAGAGTTTGAGCAGACAGCTACCTAACAAAGTAAGAATAAATGATGCAATTTTAGTTATCAGACTCTTAAAAAAAAAAACCTCAGGGAAAGTTCACAAGAGGCAGTAAAAGATTAAATAACCTGGAAACTAATTGACTTGGCATCCCTTTTAAGGAAATACAATAGCATTCATTAGCTTCAGGAGTATAAGCAATAAAAGGGATATCTCCACTCACTACCACATTACACATGCTTTAATTAAGTACGTGGTTCCTCTAGGGGAAAAAAGTAAGAATGGAGAGCAGCGGGTAACTCTGAGAGCAGCTACATCTAAGGTCACTCAGCAAATTCACTTCAAAGAACTGCAACACATGAATATTTAGTTAGTAGGGGGTATGATGATTGTGGACGGATGCAGAAGGGCATTTATCGTACTTTAAATTTTAGAATCACCGTAATAAAATTACCTATAAACATCAATTTAGGGTTCATCATTTATAGGATTGTAACTTAGGTAAATTAGGTAGCATTATCAAGCATAATGATGTAAGGGATTTAATGGCGGAGGGGCTGTGTTTTTTTTTTTTATTTAAATTAGTGACAGACAAAGGGGAGCCAGTTATGGTCAGTAGGTTGACCAGAAATCGGACCTTAAATACTTGAAACAGTTCATTATTGTTACATTGGAGGAAGACCAGTTATGGTTTAATCGCTTCCTCTTTGCACAATCTTGCCAACTACTTTTTAGGATCTTCTTCCTGTACATACCATACCTTGCAAAAGTATTTCTGTTCCAGTTTTGTAAGATTGTAGCCACAAAATTTGGTTGACGTTACAAATATTTTATGTGATTAGACTGATAGCACATACTTCAGAGTGTGGCTGGTGATGTAGTTATATAAGATTATCAAATTCTTCAACTAAAAAACTTTTAAGTGTGTGGTAAATTTATATGCACCCCATTTGGTTAGTATTTTGTAGAACTAGCATCCTTTAGTGTACGTTTCTACCAGCTTTGTACAATTAAACAGATGTTTTGTAGTTCTTATTTGCACAACTGCTCAAGCTCAGCCAGTTTGGATGGAGAGTTGTTCCTTGTGAAAAGAACATTTCCAGCAATTCCACCAGGTTACCATGGCAGACCAAGGCTATCCTAATGTTTACTTTTTGATCTAAACCATTCTCCATTGGCTTCATATTCATGCTGAAAGGCAATTGTTCACCAGCATTGCAGTCTCTAACAGGGTTTCTATCAGTGAAGTGTTTAGCTGCATCCAGTCACTTTTTCCCATTTAGTCCAAAAAGTTTAACTTGAACTGAGATATGTGGCTTGCAGAGAACTCCAAATGTCAACAGATTGAACCACCAGAGCTGCAAAACTCTACAGATATTACCATGCTCTTCTTTTCTGCTTCTTGAATTCATGCTTTCCTTGGCTGGTCTGTTGGTTTAGGGCAGAGGTCTGCAACCTTTAAAAATCCAAAGAGCCATTTCAGCCTGAATCCAGCCATGTAAAAGTGGTCCTCAAATTTGACACGACTTAATAAAGCACAACTTATTTAGTTTAATATCTGCTATAGGAAATCTGTTGTCATTTATTGGTATTTTTAGGTTTTGAAATGAAGAAAATGTATCTTTTTTTTTTTTACTAACCAAACTGTCAAATATTTGCTGTGTTTATTGTTTGCATCAACTGTGTTGAAATCAGGTAACACAAAACTTTAGTGACAGACAGTTAAATAAGCAACGAAAAACCCAGATATGCTGCTGTAGTAAAATCTGCTCACAACAAGCAGCTGCTGAAAGTCAAGCGTACACGAACAGCAAACACAAATAAGATCAGTCCTATTTCCTTTATATTCAGAGGTTTAAATGTATTTATTTGCAATGACTCAAAACACAAATGCTGAAAATAAATATTTAAGAATCACTTTAAGTTATAAAGGAAACTCAAAATTAAAATATAGAAATAATCAGGTGAGAAAAAGCACAAATTAGAGTTTCATGTAATTTTTCACTTGTCAAAAGATATATATTCCCAAGAGCCCTTTACACATGTACCATCATCATTGACATGTAACACTTCTAGGATGGAGCACAAAGAGCATCTAAAATACAGTAACGCGTTTCTTAGGGATGCTGCAGTGAAAGAAAGCCCTTCAGGGCCCCCAGATGGCCACGTCTAGCAGCAAGAGATTGAATCAGGTTTCTACTTTTTAGGATTTTCGCACAGTGTGCATCCAGGCTTCAGGTCAGCCTGCCGCTCCATTTGAATTGTAATGGAGTGGAAGTTGAAGGAAGAGAAACAGGCCTGGGTCATTTCTCTTAGGACAGTCTGGGCATCAACAGAATCATCTAGGACAAAGAGTAACACAGTCATTCTCTGTACAACTGAAATGTGCATTGAGATCTAAAGAAACATTAAGCTTCAATTAATGCTTAAAAAAGAAAAATATGGTTAATCTTGCATGATATGCATGTAAAATCAGCACTTAGACCAAAGGGTGTGCAACTTCAACCACTCATTTAAATATGAAACAACAATTTTCCTCACCTATAGCTATGTGTGCAGAGAGCACTGCCTGATTCATGGTGAGGGCCCAGATATGAAGGTTGTGGACAGCGATGACTCCATTTACGGCTAACAAGCGGTCACGCACCTCACTGTACCTCACCCCTGATGGGGTACCTGTAACAACGTTGGGAAGAAAGTAAAACTGATGAGGACAAAGCTGGGAAATAATCTAAATCTACAAAAAAATATAAAAAAATGTCCGTCAAAATATCCATTATTTGCTGCCTCACCCTCCATTAGAACAAGCAGGATGTCCCTCATGATGGTGAAGGTGGTGCATAAGACCAAAATGGAGAACAAGAAGGTGCAGATAGGGTCTGCTATTTTATATTCTGGCTGAAAAAAAAATGCAAGAACATAAGCGTAACATAACATACTATTTGGGTAATTAAATAAACATTAAATTTCTTCTGACAGACTGTAAAATCTGCTTCCCTTGCAGGAAAGCAAATCCTCTCAAGGAGATCCTTTAAAGGGCAGCTGTTAAGATCAATATGGAGAATCTGCTCTGTTACTTAGAAGGAAACTAATCTAATGCAGAGAAAATTGGGTTAGAACCTTCGCTTTGGGACAGGCTTACTCAACCAAGAAATTAGTGAAAATTTAATTCATGTCAAGGTGCCGGACTTATTGCACCTCTTTTGAAAAAGACCAACAGCAATTTTAAACATACTTATTTTGTTTTTTTTAACCCTCTCAGAATACATTTAACACAAAATTTTATTGCAAGGGACAAGATTATCATGCAATCTTTAAAAGCTGTTTTGATAAGGAGTTCTCCAGTTTTCTAAAGATTAAAACAAAAATGTTAAGCCTAAAAATAAACCAAAAAAAGAAAAACATCACATTCACATCTGCATTGCATCTAAAAAGACCCATTGAGACAAACGGCAATGGAAAAATGTGTTGCTTTAATGTCACCGCTTTGTTGCTTTTATGGGAGCATATTAATTTGATACTGCTGTCACAAATAATTCACGATATGTTGCAAATGTCTGTGAGCACTATACCTTCTCATGTCATGTACACAGTAAATAAAAGCAAAATTAAAACAATTTAAACAGAAACATATAGTGTTCCACCAGGCCTGTATAGTTAATCATATATAATAAAGATGCTTCACTTACCTCAGCATGCTGGACAAATGAAACTTTCTGATTAACCAGGCTAATAATTATATGGCCACCAAGGGGCACCCTGGGCATTGCAATTTCTTTCCCAAACAGACATTTTTAAATCCTACCCATATATGGTGAAAATTAGTTCTTTTCAATGCACCAAAATATGGTACACATATTTAAAAAAAAAAAAAAAACCTACAGAACGGCTCACATTTCAACCCCACCACCCAATATTAAACCCACATTTTCCTTAAAACAGCAATACTTAATTTTAAACATTTTAAGTGCTGTTCATCGATAATGTTCAAATCTTTCCCACAATACATTTATGTTTTTCACCATTATTTTTAGTGCCCCTAATAACTATTATGCTGAGAGAAGGAAAGTAAAGCCCACAATATTAATCAGCCCTAAACAGAACCAGAAAATCTGAAGAGTAAAATTTCTTTATGTTCCTAAGTTCCTTTATCCAAAAAACAAAACAAAACAAAAATAAAATAAAAACCCCATTCTATTATGGATCGGTGCCTAACACTGAGAAAAGCAAGGCACTCGATGGAAGAGAATAAATTGAAAATGGTTCCATGAATGAAAGCGGTCTCCAGATATCTTAATGTTCACCATGTTAAATGTGTAAATAAAATAATAAACATTTATAACTGCAGTTTCTTCCATTTGAGTTTGATTATATTAATGTTAGATCTCCATGTTTTGTAATTCTAGAGAAAATTACCTTAATGCCTAGTTTGGCTTTAAACGCAAACTCCAAATATGATTTCTTACCTTGAAGAAGATGATGATGGCGCTGACAAGCACGCTAACACTTTGGAGAAGGTCTCCCATCACATGCACAAAAGCTGCTCGCACACTTGCATTTGCCTGCTGAGCCCTTTGGCCTAACAAGTAACAAAATAAGATAATGATGCAGACTTAAATTATAGCATACACGATCAAAAAAGCCATTTTAGTGCATAAATGATCGTACCAGAATCTGCATGATTTCCCTCCATGTCAATGCGATCATTGGAATGGATGCCGTTTGACATATAAATCCTTTTTTTTTCACTCTTGGCGCTGTGACTGTGTCCGTGGCCATGTGAAGAGAGTCCACCATGGCTGTGGCCGTGACCCGACTGGTGAAGAGTTAATGCCATTCTGTGGGGGATATAAGGACTCGTTCCAAGCAGCTCCAACCTCATAGAACACGGTTATAGAAGACATTTGCATACATAATATCTATAAATCTTACATAATGTTGGCGACCACTGCACAGCCTGAGGTAATTAGCATGATGTGGCCCTCGATGGTGTAGTGATCATTGACGATGCGCTCTACAGCAAGATAAACCAAAACTCCTGTGACCAGCCAGATGGTAAAAACTGACAGCAGGGCACCCAAGATTTCTGTACAGAGGAGCACATCAGGTCATAAATTAGGAGAAAATGTAATAGGAAGTAAACTGCAGTCAAAGATGAACTGAAAAGCGTTCCAGATCACAGGGTTAAGAACTTTATCTTATTCCAACTATTAGTTACATTTCAGAAGAGATGAAAAATACCATCATGTTTCAGAGGTATGTAGATTGCCTTTATCCAAACCTACGCATTTTTTAGAGGTGTTTTATTATGATAAGAGTGTAAAGGAACTTTCTTCAAACATAACAAGGATTTGGTTGTTAGAGAATAAATTGGCAGGAATTGATTTTGTCCTGAAATTGGATCTAGAGCTGTGGCAGCAGCTAAAATTAGCTTATTGTAGGATGCCAAATAAAATAAAAAAATCTGGTTATTTCACTACATGAAACCAATAAATGAACTCTCCATTCTGCGTCTACTTATATCGAAAAGGCCAACAGCCCATCACTGGTAGAACAGCGACACACATTTACCAACCAGCTCTACTGTAGATAATAAAAAAAATAAAAAATGGACTGCTAGTCACATAAAAATTTAATTCCCCAATTTTCAAATGGGGTTTATCGAATTAATATATTTGTTCCATATCAATGAGTTTTTTGCACCATGTTTTTCTCCCAGTTTACATCTGATCACTGCTGCACTTTAAGAAATGGAAATGTCATTAAAGCTGTACAAAATGAAATTTTATTTTTAATACACTCTGTGTCTACAAAATGACAATAAAAGTTGTCTAAGTCTAAATGATCATTTACAACCAAAACTAGCGGGACATCGGTCAACAGATGCCATCCCACGTCCTGCTGTTCTGTACCTGCGCGATGCCAGCCGTAGCTGAGCTTTTGTGTGGCAGGTTTCGATGAAAGCCAGAGAGAAAACAAGCTAATGACGAAGCTGGTTAGGTCGGTCAGGAGGTGAGCAGCATCCGTCATCACAGCCAGGCTTCCCGCCAAATAACCGCCTGCAAGAAATACAAAAATTAAACAGATGTTCTGGGTCTGTCCACATAAACACCCATATTTTTGCAAATCTAATATATTTTATTCTGCCTAACAACTTATCCATGAAGAAATTGATGTCAGTGAACAAAAAAATAGGAATTTTTCCTGGTAGACATAAAAAAATATGTATAAATAAGTTAAAGATATATAAATAGTAGTAAGTCAAAAGAAACAGGAACTGTTTTTGTCTTTTTAAAACTTAGCACAACAAAAGGAGTCATCTAAGTTTTTCATGATTATTTCCAACAACCTTTAAAAGTCTGACTAAGAGAAAAGGGACAACATCAGCTACAAATGTTTTAGTTTCCATTTTAATTCTCTTATTCTCTCAATTATTTTTTTGATTACTGTAATCGTTTCACATTCGCATAGCAACAAGTTTCTTGAAGATTTTTTGCGAAATTAAACCAAAACTTTTCCAATTGAGGAGTCCTGGATAGAGCATATTGACAAGATTTTTATCTTATATGCAAAATATTCACATATTTTTCCTTTCAATGTTGATAATTAATGTTCTAATTTGTTAACTGTCAGCTAAAGCCACATTTTAGAGTCTCTACACTCCACTCAACGATTAGTTGATTATTATTTCAGTGATTGATTAATCTGATTAATTGTTTCAGCCCTAGATGATGTAGACAGTGACCAGTACATTCAAAGGACAATTTAGATACTCAAAATCCATCATATTATTAATTACAAATAAGATTTATAACGGAGCTTAAAAATCTGTAAAAAGAAAAACACTTACCGACGACCTCGCCTATCATAAAGAGCAGGCAAATGACAGAAACGACGTATAACCTCCTCCTGGCACCTTTTTTCTCCTTTTCTCTGTCCTCCTGAGCGTGGCTGTTGTCATGGCAATGCTTGGCCTCTCCAGAGCCATCTCTCTGCCATCGGTCAAGGTCAGACACACTATGCATGGTAAAATATAATTCAATTAACTATGTAAAACTACAGTAGATAAAAATGTGTGTTAATACTTTTATACCCATTAAAAAGCGATGAGGACTCTTATATAAAAGGCTAAAGAAGGAATTAGATATGAGCGAATTGCAGGATGTTCTTTGCAGAGACGAGCTGCCACAAAAAAACAGTTGAGTCCCCAGGCTGGCTCTCTTATAAACACTAGAACACCCAACAGCCAGAGTTCTCGTCTACTCTGCTCTAAACAAATAAGCAAACTGGCAATATCACATCAGTTAGAATCTGACTGTATGGATGCTTGTACATGCAGTTGTTTATCCCCTTTTCTTCTTAAGTTATTTTTTTTTTCATTGTTAACCAAAGTAATGATGTGAGTGATGGAAACTGAAGTCAACAAACTTCAACGCTTTTGGCCAATAAAGTTGATTCTGATAGAGCCTTTAAGACGACACACTGAATGGTTCTGCTTTGTTTTCATTTCATTTGGAAAGAAAATCCACTTAGCACACACAAAAAAAACTATTGAAGGGGGCCCTTTGTGATATTCTGATTAAGTTAATGAAATAAGAACTTCCCCCACAGATTATATTTAATCTAACTACAGATTTATCTCCCTGATGTCACCAATCACCCCGGACTCCACCCAAACTGTCACTTTATTTCCCCACCTGGAGCTAACTCTAGAGCTCCACACTCAACCTCTACCATATAATCTCGCTCAGCGCCAATCATTACATTACATTATAATAAACACTTTTGTTTAGCTGGTTAATAGTCCAGTAGATTATTTATCCTTTAGCTGTTAAACGTGTTTTTTTTCCCTCTCTAAATAGGTGACAAGATCAACAGGGGATGAAACAAAAAGGATGTGATAAAGGGGATGGTCATGTTCATATCAAAGTTATAATCAGTAAAATAAAATAAGCTTTTCTTTATTTAATGGTTGTTGAATTTATTTATTTGGAAGTGTGTGTGTGTGTGTATGAGTTGATGAAGGACTGGATGCACCCAGTGAGTAAAGACCATTGAGCAAACCCTGGATTTCAAAAATTATTTTGCATTACTTTCAGTCCCGTAGCAAGGTTTTGACTATTAGCAGCCTATTTAAAGTCACAACAAAGCATCTTGATCAAATTTAATTTAAGAGTATGATTGGGACAACTCGACATCTTCATTCGTTGTTTCCAAGCCATTCAGAGTTAATCTTGCTGAGGCATTTTGAATTACTATCCTGTTATTTAATAGCAGCTTTTATTCACATTTTCTCCTCAGCAATTTGTTCAAACCCTGAAGCAACAAAGCATCCCCAACCTTAAAGCTACCACCACCATGATGGACTGAAGTAGTTTGTTAGTTTTGCAACAATATACATGGTTATTGAGCCATACTAGAAGGATCATCATCATTGAGGATCAGAAAAATGGAAAAAATGTGAGACAAGTCTTTGTATTATTATTATTGTCAACCGGAGTTTTTTCCTGGGAAATCTCAGCACTGTTCCCCGTTTCCCCTACGCCAGGATAACAGCTCTCCGAGTAGTTAGCTAGAGTCTTAAAGTCCTAGAAATGGCTTTGTAACCCTTTCTAGACTGAACGACATCTACAATGTTGTTCTTTTCTTAATTTTTACTATTGAGACACATTAAATGTTTTGCCTGTATTTCAGCCTATATCATCAAGGGTAACAAATAGTGTGAAAACCATTTTTGATATTTGCTTTAACTAAACTAATTTTTTCATCAAAAAATCTGAAACACTTCAGTTTTTGTCCAAAACTGAATATGAGAGGAATCCTATAAGGTCAGCTCAAGATAATGTGTCCAACGGATGTCCTCCCATAATGATAAATATGCAGAAATTTTGTAAATTTGACAAATATGACCAAATATTTGTCATTAGGTTCATACCAAAGACCATTTAATGCTGATATTGAATTTAAAAAGTATTCAGCAAGAGATTAGCATCTAGAGTTCTATGCTACGGGCTACTGTAGCTCAAAATACTGAAGACATAATCTTGGTTCTGATCAAAGGGTATCATTATAAGTAATGTTGCATCAATACCAGTATGGAGCCCAATCCTGCACTAAAGTGGTGGTATCGGTATCGGCGAGTACCAACAAATAGGGCACCGATACCATTTTGAGAGCCAAAAGTTTATTCTACTATTGTCACCCATTCAAGGTGGTCAATAAAAAGTTCCACTGGATTCACTTTGTATTAGTCTTTTTCCTGCTTCACAAAGGTAGGCAGCAGCTTGATAAAGCCACGATGGCAATTATTTTACATCCAAGTACTATGCAGTTCTTCATATGTACACACACACATCAACTTAGAAAAACAGATGGTATCAGCCAATACCGCACAGCCAGGTATCGGGGCCAAAAAATGGCATCGGCGCAACACTAATTATAAGCTGTACATATACCTTTGGAACCACAGGGCAGTAGAAGTAGATGACTTGCTCTGATCAATTAATTCCCTTTCCATTATTTTGCTTGTCAGGATACACTAAGAATCAAAGCCTTAGGGAAGGATCTTCTTGTAAACCTTAGGACCGGCCTTCCATGCAGATGTTACTGTAACAGGTACCAATCTAAGGATTCTCTGGTAGCTGGTAAACTTTATTTCCTGGTAGATGTGGCCTCCTTCAGAATCATAACGCACCACGCCACAAAGCCATAATCGTTCGGAGACTTTTTCTAAAAATCATCCAGATCTTATCCAATTGAGCATCTGTTGAATATAATGGACAAGCTGGTCTTATCTATGAAGGTCAGGATGTTACTCTAAGAAGCCCACAAAGATTTTCTTAGTTCCTACTGTAGCACCACTTTTATATCTTTGTGCATATGAGAAAATTTTAATAAAATATCTAACCAGAATTTGCCTTAAAGTCAAACAGCAACAACTCAATAAAGCAGAGCAGGAGATTGATGTAAAAACAAAAGTTTAAATCCATTTAACTCCTGGTGAAGCTTTGTTTGTTTTCTTCAATCATGTTGGTTTCAGTTAAAATATAAGGATGTGGATTAACCAATACAAACAGGATATTGCAGCTTTTTTAATTTTGAACATACCTAGACACCTTTTCCCCCCGATTGTTAAAAATAGAAAAAAAAAACATTGAGGTTTAGATTAGATTTTTTCTTTAGGAGTCCAAGAAAATCAAACCAAGAGCTTTTACAAATATTTAAATAAATGATTTTGGTTTGCATTAATGCAAATTTTATTAAAAAAAAAATAAAAAATAGGTTCACTTTAAGCCACTTCTGACTAATGAAATGCAGGTTTGCACACAGATCCCACATCAGTCCCGTGTGGAAAATAATAGATAACAGAAGTAGGGCCTATAGTGACCACAACATAACAGAAAATGTAAAAAAATAAAATAATGACTCATGTTTAAAGCTTCTCTCTTAAAAAAAAAAAAGACAAAAAAAAAATAAAAATCCGATTTTCACTATAAAAGTTAGCCTCACCTTCCTGGGATGGTGTAGGACCTGCTCTGATCTGCCAGCAGATGAAGTCTCTCTGGATCACCGCTTTTGGACATCACTGGAGGAATAATTTACAGCATAAAATTAGAAAGTTGAGATCCGTTCTTCTCTACTTAAAGCTCTGCTGTCTCTTCAGTCTCTAAGGACCTTTTGTTGCAAACATTTGCACCCATCCTACAACATAATGGGTGCAAATAGCCAAGGCTGCCGTGTGCAAACTAAAACCCGTCTGAAATGGAGATCAGCCGGGGGGTGGAAGGAGGTGGCGGTTAGACATTTGGAGGAGAAGTTACAGGCGCATTGCAAGAAGAGCGGAAGACTTGGGCAACTAAAACTACTCTTTCTTAAAAAGCTCAGCTGTGGTTCATTATTGCACGGAGCAGAAACTGCCACTGACTCATTAAAGTCCACAGGGACCCTCCCACAGTGCAGCAACAGACCCCTGGTGATTACACAATCAGCTGGAAGGACCGTGTGCGCTCAGTCCTCGTGCAGGATCACATGGTTTATCTTTGGATTTCCCAGTTTACTGAATATGATCTGTTTTTATGGAGATCATGTTAACTGTTCTTAAAAAATAAATAAAATAAAAATTTTATGACCAGTATCGGTTCTAGACCAATTGTACCAGGTGAGTCAGGGTGGGGTCCCTGCTTTTTATTAGGGGACAGAATAAAAATTATGGAGGACCAACTTTGCCTATTTAAAAATAAATAAATACTCAAATAAATAAGTTTTCCAGTAATTGTCCCCAAAAATATAGTAAACCCCTAGGACACGGCCCTCCTCATTTGCATAATAAGGCAGAAATGCAGACAGAAATGGGAAAACCAGGCAGAAAAAAATAGCGTTGAAGAAATAAAGAGGCTAAAAAAATACAAAGCCAGAATAAAACAGACAAAAATATTATATAATGCACCTTAATAAATACTTTTAAAAAAGTAATAAATAAATAAAGTTGAAGATTATAACGGACACTAACTAAATAAGGTAATTATTATAAAGGCAAATAAATAAAGAAGCTAATTAAAAGAGGTACATACATTTATGTCCCACTGTATGATTTAATTTCTACCTACATTTATTTGTTTATTGTATTTTTGGGGGGCAATTAATGGAATGCTTATTTATTTATTGAGTATTTATTTATTTCTGTATTTATTTTTAGATATGGCAGAGTTGGTCCTCCATAAAAATTAAGAACCCAATTAAAAAAAGTATAAAAAGTGATCCACAAACAGCGGTTTGCTGTAACTAGTTTCATTTACTCCAAAATACTTTTTGACTAGATCCAAGACATGCCAGTAAATATTTGGATTTGTAAATTCTGGAAATTTTACAACATCCACTTCGAGCTGTGAGACACCACCAGTAAAGTTGCAGTATCCATTATATTTCAAGACATGTGCAAAGAAATCTAAAACAAACATTTAACCAGTTGCAAACTACAAAAAGCTAGCGACAGCTCCGACTGGAGAGGTAGATGATTTTTTTTTTTCATAATTATATGTAATTTTATCATACAATAATACAGGATATTTACGGGAAAGTGCTGATATGGCAGGAAGGAGGATAATACAGTAGTTTCCAAGCCAAAACTTGACAGCTATGATCTAAGATTGTGAGACTTGGTTATATGGACACTTTTTACAGTGCAGACAATACAAAAAAGTAAACTTCTCAAAATAAGTGCAATTGTCTTTAAATAGAGCAGATAAATAAGATGATCTTTGAAAGGAAGAAAAAATTTATTTAATCTTGAAATAAGATAATTACGTATCATCCACTTAGAAGAAGATAATGGTTAGGCTTTTTTTTTTTTTTACATAAAACATATTATTCAATTAGTACATTTTCTAATTTACTTGCTCAAAACGGGACAACACATACCTTGCAAGAAAAAATTACTTATATTTCAATTTCTACAGTGTATGCTTTCAGTGCGGGGGCCATAGCGGAGGCCAACAACAGCTGTACAGGTGAGCTGCTCCCTGTTAGCCCGTGTCCAGAACCACCAGTGGGTCTAGCAGGTTTTTATGGCAGTACAAGCAAACGCAGGCCAATAGTCTATCTCTTGAAATATATTGAGAGAGCTGCAGAACCAAAGAGCCACTTGTGGCTTTGCACTGAATGAAGCGAAGTTTCCGGGTCATTTAGTTTCATTAATATTTTATGTTCTTACAATAAAAAAGTTGTATTTTTGCTTGAATATTTAATTTTATTTCACTGGAAGAAAAAAATCATATATTATAAGAAAAATGTAAATTAAATATTCAGGTGCTGAATAAATATCTACTAAAAGATAAAAGTAAAGATATTCTTTGGAATATCGACTCAATGTACATTCCTAATTCAGGAATATTACATATTTTGATTTATTTTAAATGAAAATGACCAGTTTTGATTTAATCATAAGAAGAACATAAGTAAAACTGACAAATTTAGCTGTAACAACTAAGATTTTTATTTTTTTTAATTTGATTCAACATAACAGCAGATAAAAAGTGATCGTATCTCCATTCTACTGAAGGTATCACCTTGATTTTAAAACAACTATTTAAATAGAATTGCATAGAGAAAAATGAAATGGGTCTAAAGGACCTATCAGTTTCTATGTTTGTTCCAGCCCCTATCATCATTATAAATATATTTATTACTACATCTTTAGCACAGGTCACAATCAAATAAACCCTTTTGGGGTTTTTATTTGTTTGTTTGTTTGTTTTTTTAATGAAAAAAACAATTAAGCAAAACATTCACCGAATATACATACTTTCAAGTTATTAGATCAGTTTTGAACTTGATGGATTTGCAGTATTTTACCCAACTTTTAAAAAAAAAATGAACCAATTGTAAAAGTGTGGCTTCCCAACTGAAGTTTGTTCCCAAAATGAACACAGGGTGGCGACACTGAATTATGTCCAATACAAATGTGCTCTTTCCTGAAAATGGGTATAGGCCTATTTAATGTGTTGAAAGAAATGTCTGTCATCATAACATCAGCAGCAGAATGTGGCTATGACCATTATGTGGCGTGCTTTAAAATAATGTCTGTACCAAAAATCAGTTAACACTTTAATTTTATGACAGCCCAACATAACATAATGAATAAATTTAAAAAAATATGTATGCTGTGATTTCAGAATAAATACATTAGAGCCACTTTTTAGGAAGGTTAGCTGCAAGTCTTTCAGGGTATGTCTCTATCAGCTTTGCATCTCTGGAGCTAAAGTGTCGATGAGTTGCCTGTTTTTGTCTTTGTTAAATTTCTCCAGTTAAGTCAGATTGGAGGAAGGGCAATTTTCAGCAACTGAAACCGACTTTTAGTTCTTGCCATTGATTAACTAATGGTTTTGATCTAGACCTTGATTAAACCTAATAGGCCTACTTTATTAATTAGGTTTGGCTGTGCTTGCTTGTTGCTTGTGGTTGTTGTCATTGAATGCAATGAATCCAAAATAATAAACTTTCAGAAATAATTGACCATAGTTAGATACAGGTATTCACAATTAAAGTCACCAGTTTAGTTAGAATAGAATAGAATAGAATAGAATAGAATTCCCAAAAAAAGTTAAAAACTATCCACTGGACTTTGTTTCCAAGTTTAAAGACGTTTTGCTTCCCTTTCAGGATTTTTCAAATCAAAATATCAGGAATAGTGTCAGGAATAGAAAAGAATAGAATAGAAAATCCCTTTATCGTTCCACAATTGTGGTGTTACAGCAGCAAGATTATAACAAAAGTTGTCACACAAAGGTGGACCTTAAAAAAGTGTATAAAAATAACAGAATAAATAACATAATTAAGAAAATAAAATACTGTACTGTATTAAGGCAAGGAAAGTTTACTTATATATAACACAGTTCAGTACAAAGTTACTTCAAAGTGCTTTACATTAATGAAACGGAAAGCAGGTAGTAAAGCAAATAAAACAGTTGGTACCACAAATTTCAACTAAGGATTTTTCAGTAAACAGTTTCATTTAACAGTCAAAGGCGGTTCTAAAGCTCTTCTACAGTGGATAAGTGGAGCCCAAGAACTAAATGCTGCTTGTCCATGTTTGGTTCTAGTTCTGGGTGTACAGAGTAGCCTGGAACTAGAAATCCTGAGTGGTCTGGGAGGTGGATACAATGATAACAAATCTGTTATGTATTTAAGTGGTGATCCATTCAGTGATTTACATGATAACAAATCTGTTATTTATTTAAGTGGTGATCCATTCAGTGATTTATAGTCTAACAGAAGGATCTTAAAGTCTATTCTCTGAGCTACAGGGATGAAGTGCTCTACTTTCTTAGTTCTAGTGAGAACACGGGCAGCAGCGTTTTGGATCAGCTGCAGCTGTCTGATGGACTTTTTAGGCAAACCTATAAATACTCTGTTGCAGTCATGAACTCTACTAAAGATAAATGCATGAATGAGTCTTTCCTGTTTGGGCATCAATCCTTTAATCCTTGAAATGTTCTTCAGGTGATAAAATGACTTAGTAATTGCCATTATGTGCCTCTGAGCGTTCAGGTCTAAGTCCATCATTACACCAAGATTTCAAGCCATAATCAATAGATTTCATTAGCTGATTGTCAGAAGGCTCAGAACACAGGATTCAGAATTCAGACAAGAGAAATCGTGATATATTTAAAAGGTGCTTATTCAACATAGCGTGTGGATGCTCGTCTCCTGCAGCTGGCTCATTGGAAACTCTGGCAGAGTTCAGTTTGTGCCCAGAAGAAGGAGTGTTGTCCAGAGGAGCAGAACTCCTTAGTGAGCCGGGACCAGAGATCCAGGAGAGAGGAGGAGCCGCGTCTTGCAGCAGCTAGAGCATGCAGAAGACCAGGAGGATAATCCAAGCCGTGGTCAGAAGACAGGTCCGACGTCGACAACAGGCAGAATCCAGGTAACAGTCGAGAAACAAAGTACAGGCAAACAGAGCAAACAGGGGTGGCTAAGACTCGGAAGTCTAGAGGTAGAAACAGGTCAGAAACAGGCAGAACATGAATCATGACACAAACAGGAATGCTAGAATTAGCCCGAGCTGGAATAACCTGGCACCAATGGCTGGGAAACGGAGGTATAAATAGCAGCAGGAACAGGTGGATCTAATAAGAGATAATGAGCACAGGGCGGAACAAATCAGATAAGAGAAAAAGAGGTAAAACCCAGCCTATGGTGTCAAGATCATGACACTGATGTTGGGTGTAAATTCTGGATCTCTCTCCCTTTGGTCAACGTATTTTACTCAGTTTTATTTTTATTTATTTCAACAAAATTGAAAGAAAAAAAAATCTAAATATGCAATATTATGAAAACGTTTAAATCAGAAAGATCCTGGGGAAAAAATGTCATGTCATTCCTGCTGAACCATCATGGAACAGAAACAGAAATAGGTTTACCAGCTTTTTTTTGCAAGAACAACTTTCTCTGCTGCCAGTATTCACCACAGCTGAATACAATCACGTCAGAGATCCTCAGACCTATTAAATGCAGAACTAGATATACAATGGGATCTTTTTAAAAATCTATTTAAAGAAAGTTCAGATGCTCTTTTTTCTCACTCTTAAAGCTGAATCTTTCTAAAAATAACTCTGAAGTGCCTATTTTGGTTTGTACTCTCGAAGAAAGAGTTTGTGTTAGGTTGCCAAAGTATCTCTGAACAGACGAGCTGTGGGTTGCCAAGGGCTGCAGGGAGGGAGGAAGATGGCATGGGAACAGTTAGTTACACATGGCTGTTCTCGCTGTTCTTTAGATTTTACACATAAAACAAGAGACAGGAGCTCAATGAAGCCCTTGTCTTTTCAAAGACACACAAGAGCTGTCGTCAGAGCAACCACCAACCTCCTCCCTGTCCTCTCCTGATCATTACTGAGCGTGTGCATCTTATAGAGGTGGTAAACAACTGCAGGTCAGACAGCTGGACAATGAACTGACGTCAGGCCGGCTCAATCACATTTGCTTATCCGGTGACGACATTAAGCTATTTTTGCCAAAAAGAAAACTTGAAGGGATCACATTTTAAAGAGAGAGAGAAAAGATGAAGACAACAGAGGGGATGGGGGAACGAAGAAGCCTTAAAGGAAAGAGGAGCAGAGAGATCGGATAAAGCTGTGAACAGCCTGTCTTCAACAAGACACTCCAGAGGAGAAATATTGGGAAAAACTGAGGATCTCACCCAACTTAGATGATGGAAGTGGTTCTGACCAGACTGCGGGACTTCTCCTGCAAGACTTCAACCTTTAATAATCAATCAGAAGCGAGTTCATGCAGAAATGCTCAGAGCCACACTTACCACAGATGCACAGCTGGAAGAGAAAGCAGCAGATTGGACATAGGGAGTGCACTGGCCTGGCTGCGAATGGAGCTGGTAAGCCTTATATAAGTCTGACTTCTAAACCACAAGATGAAGCAAAATAAGTATTGCCCTGAAAGGTTGAGTAAATCTTCTGCACGGGTTCTTCTTTTTAAGAATGTTTTGTAACTGTTAGCATCCAGTTTCGATTGCCATCAATAACTGGTTAATCTACTGTGCAAAAGGTGTTGCTTATAAGGCTAAGTCATGCTATTAAAAGTTTAAGTCATTAACAGACCGTAATGTGTATCTGTGAAACATTAATAACATAAGTAGACATGCTTTACGGATCAATATTTAACTACTAAATTTTTGGTGAAATTGTACCTGTAATTAGAGCAAGTGATTAAATGTGATGAGGCCCAAGTCCAAATGAGGCCAAAATGAATTTGCCGAGCTAAAACTGTTTTCTAATATAATCAAGTCATCAAATTTGTAACTCTAGTGACTCTAGTAAAAACATCAACCAAGTCAACACATCATTTTGCTACTACCGCCATGCTTTACTGTGGAAACGTGTTTTCAGGTTGTTAGTCCAATATATATCATACAGTGAATTTAACATATTTTCAGTTTGTCTATCATATTTTGCATGGATCCCTTGTGTACTTCTTTTTTAAAAACCAAACCAACCATCTTGTTACTCTTCCATAAAAACCAGGACATACTTGTGTTACTTTGGCAACAGCAGCTTACAGCATAACGTCATGCAAAGGCAATTTTCTTGTCATTTCTTTTGCATGTGTTAGATAGGCAAATGGAGTTTGATTTGCTGTTGACATTCTTGCCATTAATAAAGAAAGCATTTAAAAAATGTAAGAGACTTTAAACTCAACCATCAAATACAATGATTACCTCTAATAGAGGGAGGAAAACATTTAAGTTTTGAATCCAATATGTTTCAGACATTTTTTTTTTTTTACTGGATCCCTGCAGCACATCTGAACTATGAATCCAGACTAAATTCTAATGTCTTAATTTTCTTTTCAAGTGAAAGAACTATGGAGAAAACAAAGAAGCCTCCAGATTGAGTCTTTATACTCAATGAACTCCTTCCTTCTTACAAACACACATACACAGTGAGAGTGTCCAACACAGTGTCTGAAAGGAACGAGCATTTGGCATAATGAGGTGGAACCCTCCAGCCCCCCCTCGTCGCCACAAGGAAAGTTCATGTTTCATCTCTAATTCATTCAAGTTCTGACAAAGGCAATAAGACCTGCATCTTTCAGCCAGAGCACAGAGTTTTTGACTGGAGCTGTAATTAACACAGAAAAGAAATGCAGATCGGTCCTCCACCTTTTTGTTCAAGACATTCCTGAATACTTTCAAGCAAACTTGAATTTGCGAAACTCTGAAAATAGTATTTTACAGTGGCTTTAATTGGACGCCCTCTTATAAAAAGAAGTGACAATTTACATTTGAATAGAGAAATGGCTCAAATGGTGCAAATTGAAAATCTTCTTTGGTTCTATTTTGAACAAGTCCAGTTTCCAAAAAAAAAGACATTTTCAGACATTTATCTTTTTCTTTTGTCAACAGTTCTAATCTAAAAATGCTTCCCCTCTGTGTGCAGATGGAGATGCGTTCCCAGGACCAAGCTCTGATCCGGCAGCTTATGCACCTTCATTCGGGGATCCAGGAGCTCAAACAAGAGCTGTCTGAGGAGGAGGATACAGAAGAGGAGGAAGAAGAGGGCAGCTGTTGGGATTCTGACAATGAGGAAGGAATCAGCAGATTTGACACCAACTATCTCTGTTGGAAGATGCCTCAGACCTTTCACTTAGGTAGTACAGCTGGAAAAAAGCTCCACAGGAGAAGCTCTGTACCTTAGAGATTCAAAATTTGGAAGAAATTGTAATGTTTGAAACATGTGTACAGTTTTGTTGCATTTTATAAAAAATTATAGGGTAGATTAGTTTGGATACCTTTAACTACACATCCTCAATGAAAATTTTATTTATCTCACACTCAAGGCTGTAAAACAGAATAAAAGAAAAATAAATCATGTGGACCTTGGATCAGATGTTTACTGATTATTACCATTGTTGTAAAAGTCATGTTCACTTTTAAGAGGTTTTCCTGTGACTTAAGAACATTGTATGAGGTTATGGTACAGTAGTGGCACGGTCATGCTGAGGGTCTGGCAAATAATAAACTTCATTTTCAATACACAGCTTAGTAGGTAATAATTGAGCACAATTGGGTTATCCAACATAGCAATAACCATGAAACACATCAAATCTGTTTGGAATAGAGACTGTAAACCAAGGTGCCTAAGTAACATCTTAAAGGGCTACCATTCTGCACCCGCCAGGTAGATTGCTTCACCCACACACCTGAATTGAATCAGCTACATTAGAGGGCCTCTGCAGAGCTGAAGGATGCCTGTATTCAAAATGCATCTAAAAGTTGCAGGACATGACCTCTAGAGGACTGGAATTGGAGATACTGTATCTGCTGTAGGCTAATAATATTTGTCAGAAATGGCGTTAATAAAATGTTTTATGGACTATACCTAAAAGCAGGGTACCTTCCAAGAAAGGGAACAAATCTGAATCGGTTCCATCACTTCTAATATGATGAGTGATCAAACATCAGGCGGAATTTATGCCAACAAAAAACGGTACGGGGGTTAAAAGTATAATACTTAATACAAAATCTACAATAAATCCTAGCTTTTGACTTCAAAATAATATGTTTTAGAACTTACTAAAGCATCTGATTGCATCTTAAAAAGCTGAAAATATAGAAAAAAATCATGTATGTAAAGTCGTGACCAGACCTGTAGAACCTTTCTTTTATTATTCAGATCTTTAGGGAAAATTCCTCTGTGCTGCTTTGCAGATCTGCTTACACAAATACATCCCAGCATCATCTTTGGGCAATCTTTTTGGTGGTACTTTAAAGCAGTGGTTTCAAACCTTAGTCCTTAAGCACCCTATCCTTCATGTTTTTGATGTGTCTCTGTTTCAGCAAAGATCAGAGTAATTTATCAGATTATTGTGAAACCTCCTTAACAGCCATTGAGCCTGTTAATCATGTATTTATATGTCAGGTGTGCTCCAGCAAGGAGACACTCAGCTCTAAGCGTTCAGTTATGTACAGATGTAAGCACTATTCCTTAAACAAGAAGGTCCTGAGTTTAAATCAAAGTTTGATCTGCAGGCAGGAATTCTCTTCGGGATTTCTTCCTCCCATGATCCAAAAATTTATATTTTAGAATATTTGAGATGTCTATGCTGAGTCTGTGATGTTGCTTGTCCTCCTGCGATCCAACATGGGGCGGAGGGTATTGGCAACATAAAAGAGTATTTTTCTATGTACTAATGGTGAGGAATGGTTATTCATGGTGCCTCTGCATGTTTACATTAAAAGGTTTTCTTGTAAATTATTATTACATTCTAATCTCTTCCAGGTGTGTTAAAGTACATTTGCATTAAAAGGACTCTCAATGTAAAAAGAATACAAAATACCCGAAATACATTTCTATTATTACTATTGTTGTTTTTATCTAAACATGTTCTGAGCTAATCCTAAACACACTTTCTACTTGGATGAAGATTGTAACACTGTAAAATATTATTACTAAAACTCCTTGCAAAGCTGATTTGCACTGATTCTTCCCTTTTTAAGCATGTTAAATTGACCAACCACATGTCTTAGCTTTACATGTCAGTTTTAAATGTTGAAAACCAGGCCTCATTTAGCCTTTACTTTGCAATTACTCGTTACTTGGTATTGAACTATGACAGCTTTCCTTATAAATTACATCTAATTTAATTGCTAAGGTGACAAAAGTTGAAAAAAGTTTAGAATGACTCTGTCCAACAAAGACCTTCTATGAGACCTTTATTGGTCCTGTCCCTGAATTAATGTAAAATAACCTGTTAAAATGCTAATAGCACATACAAAAAAGAGTGAATAAACCAAATAGTCTTAAGAGGAAAGAAGGAGGGAGTGGATTCATTTAATTTCTCCTGTGATTTAAGTACTTAGCTCAATAAAGATGCTGAGACAATGATGTTGTATAATTTATTTATTGTTCCTAAATTATAATTTGCTTTAAATGTTTTCCAGAAACTAGATAGCTGTCTAAAGAACAAGGCTGCAGAGGTGCGAAGCTTTTTTATTTAATGTTCTTTTTGTTTACTTAATTAGTGTCCAAGCAGCAGATCTACTCTGTTTTATACAATGCATTCAGTGTTTCACAGCTGTGCTGGACTCTTTTCTTCTCTCTTCATGGATTCCTTTTTTCAGTTTTAAGTCCTTCTCAGATAAAAAGCAATCTTGTGGGGTCTGCTCATGGCTGATCGTCCCCTTGCAATTCCATCCCACCAAAACTCTCCCTCCTCAGTCTTTGGATCTCTGAGTTGAGCCCTAGCAGCGTCTGAGCCAGCTGGAGGTCCTGAGTGCGCATTTCCAGCTACAGGATCACAGGGAAATACATTTTATTCAGGTCCAAAGCTGTCACTCTGAAATGTATTTATAAGTGGATATTTACATATTCATAGGTGCAATAATTAAAAGAAACCCAAAATGCACATATTATAGACCAGAAAGCAACAGCAATATAGTTGTATTTGTTTTATGTCAAATAATTATTTTAATAGGACCATATTGAGATTTCAAAATAGTTCTGAGCTGAAAAAGATGAAAAATTACCTTAAAAATAATAGTAAAGTATAAAAAAAAAATCTGATTTTAGTGACTAAAAACTGCATTAAATGAATTTGATAAATATATTGAATACAAAAACTAGGTGAATAAATACAATTTATTGTATTTTTTGCTCTTATTTAATTCAAAAGTGTTTACATTGTTTGCAAATTAACTTTAAATTGAACAACTTATTAAAATGGTAAACTACTGATAAACATGTTAATATCATAGATTTATAAATAGAATTTTCAGTTTAAATCATCACCAAATAATTTGTTAAATTAACATCATCATTAAATCAGTTCATAAAAAACTCTTAATAATGATGACACTTTTTATTTATATAATGTATTAAATACCATTAGATCTAAACAACCAGTCCAGTAAGTACTTATTTTAACAAATTATTCAGTGACATTTTGGATTACATATATTAAGTAAATTGGATAATTTATGATTATTTACAGGGTTGAGTAAAATAATGAATACAAAACTGCATTATTATATGGGAAACTCTTTTCAAGCAGTTATTGAAATTATGCATTCTTAATAAATGACGATTTCTACAGAAACTTTCAGGAAAGGACAAAGTAAAATCTGCATACTGAATGAAATTGTTAAATCTCACCAGTTCGGATCTCAACCAGGTTATAGCTCCATCTATCTGCGCCCGCCTCAGCTCCTCATTCGCCTGGCGACTCCTCCTGATGCTCATCGACCTGTCGCCACAGTCAGACTCTCCTGGATCTCCTCTGGACTCTGTGGTCACCCTAAAGGCATGGATTAGTTTGTTCTTAACGTTCTCCAGAACCATGGTGGACAGCGTGTCCTCGCTGTGACTGTCCCGGTCCATCTCTGACTTGGTACCTCTCAGTAAACTTTCTCTAACAAAGTAAAACCTGATCCTGTTCTTCAGCTCTCCTGCAGGAGTTTGCGTGTGTCTGACAGCAGTCCCCCCTTTGCCTTCCCAGTGCTAAACTGCCTTGTTTTGTCATTGTTACTATGGAGAAACACCCTTCTTCTTGCACCTCCCTCCTCCTCCTATTTGGTAGCTCTAATAAGAATGGTGGAAGATCTCAAACAAAGACCATTGTTGCCTCCAAAAAGAAGTGAAAAGACCCCTCCAACCACTGCCACCCCCTCCCCACCACCACCCTTTTCCTTCCCAGCAAATCCAGACCCCTTGCAACCCGGGTGAGAGAAATGTGCAGTGATAGAGCTCTCTTTAAGCTAAAAAGCCCCTGTGTAAACCTGTGTGTGTCTGCAGAAAATCAATCAACCCCCACCTTCGCCTCTCCCGACGGACTTCTTTTTGCTGCATCTCCCTAAATAAGACCTGCTCGTCAGATTATAGCAGACGGACAGGTTGAGCAAGCAGCAAACACAGCCTCAGTGTTAGCTGATTCAGAGGCACAAAGACCGTCCTGCGGTGAAATATAACCAGGCCTTTTGTCCTGAAGTTAAATCCATTCCCCTCTGAGTCGGTGGGATGGCTTCTGGCAACAGAGCTGCCTTTTTTCCCCTTCCTGACTTCTGCATAGAGATGAGACAACGGTCCAATGTCCAGCAGCAGGAAGAGAACATGTTGAGAAGCAATAAGTTATGTGGTATGAAGAGGAGAGCTTTTATTTGTGAGTCATACAGTGATGTTCATAGACAGATTGACGATTGTGAAAGATGGAGGAGCAGCGTTGCTTGTCAGGCCTCATAAGGCGACAGCCATGGCTCTATTTGTGTTGAGTTCTATGAAGCGTGAGAAGATGTTGGAGGGAGCAGGGTCGTTAGTTTTAAAGGTCAAGGCAGCAGGGCGACACGTGACAACAATGACAGCAGCAAGTGAGCTGAAAGTGACAATGACTGAGCCTCAGGTGGCAAATAAAGAGAAACATTCCTTTTCAAAGCGAATTATGCCTCTTTTATTCCTTCATTGTTTCTATTAGGTGCTGCTTGGTCTGAGATTTTCATAGAGACCAGTGAGCAAAAATTAAACCTTTAAAAGTCTCAGAACATTAACGCATTTTAATACCAGACCCAGATAAATTTAGAAATGAAAAAAAAAAAAGTTTTTTTTTCCCCTTTTTCAAATGATTGATTTCATTATGGGAAGAAAAAAACACAAACCAGAGTTTGGGTGAAAGTTTACGTTACCTATGAAGCTAACAACTGATGTAAAGATGTATCTGATTTACTTAAGATGTTATTGATAGTTTTTAACAGTGAATAGGCAAATTAGGTTCAGGCAACAGCATTTCAATCAGATTTAATTCCAGACTTTGACTAGACCATTTCCAAAAATTGTGTTTCTAACCATTCAGAGAAGGGCCCCAAATACTGTACATTAATTTATCCCTCTGTATGCTCAGCTTTGTGTTCTGTTCAGCAGCAGATATAATCTGCATCTGTCCCTGGAAAGACACGCTGAAGAAAAATAGGTGTATTATAAACGTGTCAATAAAACTACAAAAACTTTAAAAACTTTAAAGACAGAAAACACACTGTTAAACACTATAACTTCCACACAATATAAATTTTCTATTCAGTCAAGTTTTTGGATTGATTCTTCTTCCGCAGTAACTTTCTCCAAAGTACAGCGTTTTAGCAATGCAAATTAATACATAAATATCATAATGATTAAAAACTCAAATTAAAATGGCAAATGTTGATAAATATAGTTTGCACAGAAGCATAAATTAGGGGTAGAAGGAGCTGGTTGCTTATTAATTAACACCTCAACGTTATCCTCTGTAAGTCATCTGGCCTTCCATTCATAATTCTAAGTTTTGTCCTCTTAACTCAGTCTCCAGCAAACATTATGTTGCTGCTCTTTTCTCCATTACCTTAAAACAACCACTGCGGACCCTGAATTATCCTCACCCTATTCTGAACTTCCTACCAAGCTCAAACACTTCATATCACTCTGCTCACCTGATTTGCCCATTTATAGCAGTAGACCCTTCTCTAAACCCTGGAACATTCTGATTTCTTGCATGTGCATCAGAAGTAAACCTAAAATCATGACATTTACCAGATCAAGCAGCAGGAAGTGCATTCTTCATATGCGGTTATTTCACATTTCCAAAAAAAATCCAGAGAAGTTGTTTAATATGAAACTTTAGTGTGTTCATGTGGAAGATATATCAGTTATCTTTACATCAGATTTTCAAATAAAGCCTGACCCTTCCCTTAGAAGACTTTTTTTCTTTCTGCTTCGCCAACACCATGCAAAAAGATCAGTTTGAAAACATTTTTAAGAGTAGTAAATAATGTTTATAGATGAAATGGCCTGAGTTATTAGGGCAAGCTGAAATTTATTAGGGTAACTTTGCAAAATTGCTCAGGAAGAATGTCAATGAAAACAATGATCTTAGCTTTCACAAATTTTCACATCGTCCTCCTGCATGGTGATCCTTCTCTCAGATGACATTGCTGCCCTCTACTGCCACACATTTTCCACTCCTATGTTGGCAGTCTATATTAGTTAACTTTGTTTTATAAAGTAAACACCATTTTTGGAAGATATTAGATAATTACATGGTGAATAATTAATCAAAAACCTACAGACTAAACAGCCATGACATACAAGCAGCTGTTTGAATAGGTTATTCATCCTGCAAAAACAGACATCAAAGGTGACCCCCTTTTAAGGATGAATTCATGAAATAAGATCCATGCTATTTATGCTGCATTCCTCTTAGACAGTCTATCTTAAATATGTAGTTTCAGAAGCAGAGCGTGCATTGTTTCTTGGTTTGAAAAACTTGGTTTGAAAGGCAAAAAAACAAGTGCAGAAAAGTAATGAAAATTAAAACCAGAATGACTTGGAATACAAGAGAAAACCCTGATTCCAATGGATGGAATAAATATTAAAATGACAATTACTACTTTAAACAATTTGATTACGCCTATGTGAAGCTAAGCTCATTTTGGGGTCTCAGGGTCACGTTCATTTTTTGTCATATGACCCCCAAACATTGATTCTTGCCTCAGTTTGCCTCACAACTTCTACCGATTTTCACAAATGTGTTTATTTTCAATCGTTTGCTTTTGAACAGACTGTGCTTGATTCCAAAAATCATTTTTCTGCAAGAGCATAGCTAAAACTAGGAATTTGAATTCAACTTTGTCATTCCACTGTCACAAGTACAACACAACAAACTGAACTCTCTGCATTTAACCCATCCTTTTCGGGAGAAGTGGGCTGCCATTGTGTGGTGCCCGAGGAGCCGTGTCAGGGTCTTGCTCATTGATCCAGAGTGGCAGTCCGCGGGAGTGGGGCTTGAACTTAGAACCTCTGGGATCCAAGTGCAATGCCCTAACCACTTGTTTCTATTTTTTATTTATTTATTTTTTTTTATATATATATTATTCTGAACACTAGTATGCAGTTGATTGTGGTGTTGCCAGAGGGGCCCCAGGGCCCACTGTTTAGTCAGCTGAGTCAGTTTAGGGTCACGTGGCAGTACAACTTCACAAATTGCTCTTGAGAATACTTCTGTATCATAGAATGATATTTCAAATCGCTTTATACGACAACAATTGAACACAAACTAACAGAACCCAGTTTTGACAAGATGTTTAATTTGTTAGCAAATTTAACACAGGTTAGAAAAATAAATACACCAGAAAAAAAACACATTTTCACATGCAGCATTATGGAATTGTAGGAGAGGATGAACAGGACATACGGTAACTACCATCCAGGACTTGTACAAATCTAGATTCAAGAAAAAGGGCAGCTAACATATCTGTAGAACCAAAACATGGACACAAACTGTTTCAGAGTTTTAACTTCAACTCAGGGCTGCCGAGCACTTTTTGCTAAAACGAGCTGCCATGGAGACATTTTCTTTCCCCCCAGGCTGTTAATCTCAGGAACACTTAACAGTAAGAGTGTGCTTGATTGATACCATACTTCTTTTTTTTATATATAAATACAGTGAGGAAAATAAGTATATGAACACCCTGCTATTTTGAAGTTCTCCCACCTAGAAATCATGGAGGGGTGTGAAATTGCAAACAAAGGCTACTGTACCAAACAATATTGATTTTTGCTGGTGTTCAAATACTTATTTGCAGCTGTATCATAGAAATAAATAGTTAAAAAATATATCATATATTGTGATTTCTGGATTTTATCATTTTTTTCAGATTATGTCTCAGTCACAGTAGACATACCCCTACGACTGTCCCTTTCAGACCCCTCCATGATTTCTAAGTGGAAAAACTTGCAAATTAGCAGGGTGTTCAGATACTTAGTTCCCTCACTGTACCTAACAAATTTTAAAGTGTCCATATAATATTGGTTCACATTCGATCAAGTGAAAATAACACTTTTGAAAATGTTAAAACATTTAACTCAGCAGGAGAACTGGATGAACAATGCCTTAAATTGTTGATACTTGTCAGGATTTATGGACAAATATAGCAGAGTATCATCAGCAAAACTGATATAACTTAGCCACATTTGCTTCAGGACACGCTGACAGGAGCAAGGCTGCCATAAATGGGCACTACCAGGTCCTCTAAGACCATCAGTGCTAAAAACAATCTGGGTCAGGTGTCTTGCCCCAAAGACACAGCAACTGAGCTGGGATTTAAACCTGCAATCCTCCAGTTGCAGTACAACCATCTGCATCCTTCACCACAACTTAAAAGTCCACTGATATTGTTGATACCACATGTGTTTTAAGTGATTAGAATGCAGAAACATGTTAGCATTCTGGGGGAAACTCTGCTACTTGTTAAATTTAAAATCAACTCTTAACAGAGTTGCCTGAATTTAACTCAACATCGAATCATTGGAGAAAATAACTCTACCATAATTGAATTAGACTAAAGTATTGAATTAATACTGTACTTTCAGAATACACTGGAAATCACATTTGATTTTGCTTTGTATATGTAAATCATATATCTGTCAGGATTTGGTTGTGGTTTTTGAGGACCCAAATGCAGAGGCAGGGAGGCAGAGGAGAGGTGAGTTTCCCAAGTAATCACAAACAACTGAGGCACTAATCCAAAAACCCAACTTAAAATTTAACACAAACTAGAGCCATGGAGACATCAGGGGAAAAAAGCATGTGGAGTCAGGGAAAGGCGAGAAGAGACGAGGAACCAGCACTGAGGAACTGCTCAAGGAGAGTATTTATGGTAGACTGAACAAAGAGAGGACTAACGAGCATATTGGCAGCAGGTGTGAAGAGAGCAGTCTAGGAAGGAGATAGTGAAAAGGACACCAACACAAGAGGGTAACAGAGGACAACAAATAAAAACCTAAGAACTCAAATATATCCAGAAAATACAACAAAATGGGAATTAAACCAATAAAAGTAGAAAACATGGAGCAAAGTAAAAAGTAACAGAACCAAGACCGTGACAATATGTATCTAATGATAGCAATGTGGAACCAAAGTCATATTCCTTGTTATGGTGCACCAACTTGCAAACACTGTAAATTCTAGAGTGTTAAATATGTAGTGTCAAAGTACATTGACTCTTGAAGAGTTATTACAACAACAGCTGGAGTAAGATATCCACTACGTTCTAATTTAACACTAATTCCGAGTGGGACCAAATGCATTCTGAAAGTATTACTTTAACACAACAAAATTTACTGTGTAATAAAGCTAAATGGTGAAAAAAAAAAAAAAAAAAAGATAACTCAGGAAATAAAAAAGTAAAAAAAACAAAGCTAGAAGGTAAAAAAAAGAAAATCATTGCACTGTATATTTTTTGTATGGAAGCCCGTTTCTGGCACATGATAGAAAAACATGCCAAATACAAAGTCATAAGTCTGAATTTCAAAGTCATAATTATGAATTACAAAGTCATAATTTCGACTTTTACAGTCATAATTATGAGATACAAATTTTGAAAGTTGAAATTATGACTTTGTTTCTCAAAATTCTGACTTTGAAACTCGAAACTATGTCTTTGAATCTCGTTATATTAGACTTTCTATTTGGCATTTTTTAACTTTCATATGGCGGACACAGGCTTCCATACATAGTCTCCACCACCTCCGCCATATGAAATTTACTGTGTAATAAAGCTAAATGGAAAAAAAGAGATATAGCAGTAAATAAAAAAAGTAAGAAAGAAAAAAGCGAGAGGGTAATAAAAAAACAAAACAATGCATTGTATATATTTTTTGTACGGAAGCCCGTTTCTGCCACATGAAAAAAAGCCTACTAGAAAGTAATAATTATGAAATTCAAACTCATAATTATGAATTACAAAGTCATAATTTCGAGTTTTAAAGTAATAATTACGAATTGCAAAGACATAATTTCAACTTTTAAAGTCATAATTATGAGATATAAATTTTGAAAGTCGAAATCATGACTTTGAATCTCGTTATTATGACTTTCTATTTGGCATTTTTTAACTTTCGTATGGCAGACACGGGCTCCCATACTTAGTCTCCTCCACCTCCGCCATATGAAATTTACTGTGAAATAAAGCAAAATCGTAAAAAAAGATAAATTAGTAAATAAAAAAGTAAGAAAGTATAAAGCGAGAGGGTAAAAAAAAAAAATTCACTGCACTGTATATTTGTATAGAAGCCTGTTTCTGCCGCATGAAAGAAAAAAAATGCAAAATAGAAAGTCATGATTATGAATCTCAAAGCCTTAAATTTGTAAAGTCGAAATTCTGACTTTGTATCTCAAAATTCTGACTTTGACACTCGAAATTCTGACTTTGAATCTGGTTATTATGACTTTCTATTTGGCATTTTTTAACTGTTATATGGCTGACACGGGCTTCCATACTTGTCTCCACCACCTCCGCCATATAAATTTACTGTGTAATAAAGCTAAATGTAAAAAAAAAAAAAAAGTTAAATCAGTAAATAAAAAAAGTAAGGAAGAAAAAAGCGAGAAGGTAAAAAAAAATAAAAAATCACTTTACATATAATTGTATGGAAGCCCATTTCTGCAACATGAAAGAAAAAAATGCCAAATAGAAATCATAATTATGAATTACACTGTCATAATTTCGACTTTTAAAGTCATAATTATAAGATAAAAATTTTGAAAGTCGAAATTATGACTTTGTATCTCAAAATTCTGACTTTGAAACTCGAAATTAGGACTTTGAATCTGGTTGTTATGACTTTCTATTTGGCATTTTTTTAGCTGTCATATGGCGGACACGGGCTTCCATACACAGTCTCCACCACAAAATGAAGCAAAATAGAAAGATGAGCAGCTCAGCATCCTTGCCTGCCTCCATCCTCACATCAGCAGCCCTCCGCAAACCGAGGAGGGTTCAAACCCGTCCACCCTGCACAGGGAGAAGGGACGCCATCTTGTAAGTTTACCTCCTGGAGGAGAGGAAGGAGAGCCGCAGCAGGGACCGGCCGGCGCCACACCAACACAGAAAGACATACCAACCGTTGGAAGTGAGTCATTAATGTTGCATATGCGCGTCAGAAACTGCTGATGAAATATATCTGTGTGGATTAAAGGCGCTAGCTTAGGGAATTTAGTCTCTGCATCATCACCTGTTGGGATGCAGCATCAACGGTTATCGCGAATTATATTAAACAGTCGTAACAATAATAATAATAAACAAAATGCTATGTAAACATCTGGAAAGCTGCTTATTGACTTGTTTAATCTCCACGTTTGTAGCGTTACTGATTCCTTACAGTCTGCAGAGATAAACAGCAGACACAGGGATTACATCATACTGCTGCAGGTGCATCACACACCTGACAAAGTATGGCAAGCTGTTTGAATAAATAATAACACAACTCTTTCATCTGAGGAAGTCTTTCTATTATAAAATATTATTCCGAATGAAATAAGTTATTTTGATTTAATGAACCAAAGGTTGAGCATTTTGACTGTGTGGAGGAAACCCCCTCTGGACCATTTGGGTTATAGAGGCAGCACAGCCTGCTGCTTTTAATAGAAGCATTTTGTTTATGACAGGGACCTGCAAAGTGTCAGGGCCAGGTTTGGCCCTTGGAATGACATTCTAAGCATCTAACCACAACCTAAATGTAGCAAATGTTTCTACCTTGAACAGGCAGTTTATGATGAATGGCCTGTACATCACATGCAGGTAATAAAGACATTGACTGCAGAGGATGTAGGAAACTATGACCCATACGTCGGCTGGCTAATATTTTGGGCTGTTATTATAATTTGGTTATTGTAATAAACAATATGTGCATACATGGGCGGTTCCAGACAGGGGCGAACAGGAACAGTGCCCCTGTAGAACAGCTTCTGGTACGTGTTATAGCCGCTGTACTAAAGAAATAATACAAAGATAATGAATTCTAATGATGATATGTGCTGAAATTCAGTTTCAATTCAGTTTATTCATATGGCGCCAATTCACAATACATGTCATCTCAAGGCACTACAGTCACATTGATTCAAAGTTGTCTACCTAAGGAAAATCAGTTGGTTGCATCGACTCATTCACTCAAATGCAATCCCTCACACTAAGCATGCTGGTAGCGACAGTGGAGAGGAAAAACTCCCTTTTAACAGGAAGAAACCTCCAGCAGAACCAGGCTCAGTGTGAGCGGCCATCTGCAGAGGCAAACTGGGGTTCAAGGAGACAGAAGCAGAGATACAAAAAGCAGCTATAAAAGGCGGCCCCGTCCAGGAAACACACAGCCAGGTAGACGAGCTCTGAGCCAGCTCCCATGTCAGAGGACGAAGAGAGGACATCCAGTTAGTCACACAACTTTGAGTTGATCACAGAGCAGATGCATTTATACGGAGACTTGATTACACACAGGTGGATTGTATTTATCATCATCAGTCTTTAAACCAACATTTGATCATTCATAGAAGTTCTGGATCTCCTGGTTCTCCACTCCACTTCATGATTGTGTCCCACTTGTTGTTAATTCTTCACAAAAAAAAATACAATTTTATCATTTATTTCTTTATGTATGGTGAAAGGTTGAAAAGTTCAAGGCAGCCGAATACTTTTGCAAGGCAAAGTATTATAAATGATAAACTGGATTTACACCATCAGAGTCTGCACTGTTGATGTAGTTAGCCAAAGTGATTAAATTATCAAATGTTGCTTGCCATTTCATTCTCCATCTTTGAACCTAATCTACGATTTGTTTACTAACTAAACACCCCTAAGATAAAGTGGACGACCATTCGAAACAAGTACAGAGCAATTTAGCCTTGTGCAAAGTACCACCTATGGTAGCTGCCATGTTATGAATCAGCTGCTTACATCCAGAGAGGAGCTGGGATTAGTTTAACTTGATTTCCAGCGTGCTCAGGGACCAGAAGGCTAAACCGAAATGCTAAATGGGACGGTAAACAAAAAAGTGCATTTGCAAGGATTTAAAAAATGCAAGGTGAAAAGAAAAATAAATTAATAAAGGAATTACCTTTTTTAAATGTTTGATAAAGAAAGGTATCTTTGAATTATGGTTTTTAAATCTGCAAGGATTTGACTATTTTTTTTATTACTATATTTAATAATGGATTAATAAATTAATAAATACAATTAACTTTAAAATGTGAAATTAGAAGAGAAGCAAGTATTAATTCTAATTGTATTGTTAAAATTTTAAAAATGTTTGTTTATCTTTTTCAGTGACTCTTCTGGTCTTCCATAGAGGGCAGCCGTCCTTGTATCCTGTGAATGTTCTCTAGATGATAGAAGGCTGACTTTGTTACCGTCTATATGAGCCTCTGAAGGTTCAGGTCTGAGTCCATCACTACACCCAGATTTGGTCGAAAATACATGTTTTTGGACTTGGGAAGGATTAGCAGTCTTTTTTACTGATTATACATTCTTTGTTTTTTTTTTTGTCTGTTTGTTCATTTTTTTCACAGGCCCAACGCCTGCTCCCCTTCTCCTTTTCCCCTGTGCTGAGAAGGCGAAGGGACGATGTTTTATGCCCACTTTGTCCTCAGCAAACGTGGGCCGCTGGCCAAAATCTGGCTGGCGGCCCACTGGGACAAGAAACTGACCAAGGCTCATGTGTTTGAGTGTAACCTGGAGAGCAGCGTGGAGAGCATCATCTCACCAAAGGTCATTTTTCATCCTAATTACCTGCATAATTACATAATTAATTACAGTTGTGCATGAAAATGTACATACCCTCCCATTAAAATCAATTTAGAATTCACACAAGCGATTCAAATAAAACCAAACTGAAAAAACTCATAATAAATAAAAATTTTACTGAATGTGTCATTAACAATGAATCAACATGGCTGTCAACATTTACTGAACACTTTCTGAACATCATAGAAAAGACCTGATTTCACTGGCATCTGATTTTATAAAAATATAACTGGGATGCTTTAGTTTGACCTTAATCAAGCTGGTCTTGCTAAAAAAAAAACCGTTTGGCTTAATTCAAATGTGAAAAGAAAAGTGGAACAAAATTCCTCCCTTGTGATGTCCATAACACACGCTGCCCCCTGGTGGTAGAATCTGTATTATTTAAGCAAGTAAAGTCATTTTTAGCAGGTAATGTTTCAGATTTTTATTTTTATTATTTTTATCTTTAGGTGAAAATGGCTTTACGAACATCGGGACACCTGCTGCTGGGGGTGGTGAGGATCTATCACAGGAAGGCTAAGTACCTGCTGGCTGACTGTAACGAGGCCTTCATCAAGATTAAGATGGCATTCCGTCCAGGTTAGGAGCTGGGCACGAATGAGAGATCATCAGTTATTATAAACATTTCAAAGCTCATCTATTCTTTAAATGTTTGTAGGAGTGGTAGATCTCCCAGAAGAGAACAGGGAAGCTGCCTACAACGCCATCACGCTACCCGAGGAGTTTCACGATTTTGACCAACCGCTACCTGACCTAGAGTGAGTCCTTTGAGTATCTAGATGTGGGAGATCTATAATGAGGTTGCTGCTGATTCTATATTATTCTAGGTTTCATTACATCCGTTGCATTTTATTGCAACATTGGCTGGTTTGAGACAGGAGACAGATGATATCAGCAGGGTTTTTACAGTTTGAAAAAATATGGACAAGTGTTCCAGGTCTAGATACATTTTGAAGAAAAGAGTAGAACCATCTCTCCTTTCTTCCAAAGCTTCAAAACTGCATGAAACTACTACATAAAGCCATATAGAAATCCATTATTCAGACTATATAGACAAGTTTAAAAGTAATTTAAAATCTTAGATTTTGATTCTGATTGAGACATTACTTCTATAAAAACCTGTGTTTTTGTGTAAATTCCGGATTTCCTAATCTGCTGATTTCTTCACACAATTGTTTGTATCTATAAAGTCTGCAGAACAACATGTTTCACTCTGTGTGTTAGATCAGATCTTTAAACCCTTTAGAACCTGATTAGAAGAAGACAATGTAATCCACAAACACAGCGTTAAACTTCTGAGAGTGTTTTTAGGTATTTTTGCCAGGTAAGTAAAAGTTGGTGGTGGGATTTGTATTCAACAGTGACATCGACGTGGCTCACCAGTTCAACTTGAATCAGAGCCGAGTGGAAGAAATCACCATGAGAGAGGAGGTGGGCAACCTCCCCCTGCTACCAGACACCGATTTCGGTAAACAGTTTTGGTTTGTCCGTTGCTAAATGTCTTTAAGACTTTCAGAGTCGCAGAGAAGCTCCTGATGATGGGTAGGGGTGATGCCATCTGATTTTTGTCCTGCAGCTAATTTTGGCATGGATGACCGTGAGATGATGCGAGAGGAGAGCGCGTTTGAGGTGGACATCATGAGTTCCTCAGCTTCCAACCTCCTGCTGGAGGCTGAGGGCGGAGCTAATCAGATGGCGGACAAGTCCAACCACCTGGAGTATGATGAGCAGTACAAGGACGACTTTGGTGATAATCCCATGGAGAGCAACGGAGGGGGCATGCTTGGTATTACGATTGTGGACTTTTAGCAAATTAAAGTATTAATTAAAAAAAAAAAAGCATTATCAATATTATTTATGGTTTCTTGGATACAGTTGCCAAGCTGTTAGGTAATGAGGATGGAGGTGGCATATTTGACGACCCCCCCACCATCACAGACAGCATGATGATGCCTCAGGACCACGGGGAGGATGAGGATGACTTCGATGCTCTGTCAGGTTAGTTTCTGTTTTATAACAATAAGAACATGACATATAGTTTGATTCGAATCAGAAGTTTTTATTTACTTTATTCTGGCTATGGATGCCATCTTCTTTTGAAGCTGTTAACAATTTCATCTGAACTGTTTTCATTCTAAATATGGTCACAATAAGAACCCCTGTGTAAGGAAAGTCAATGCCTTCAGCTTTAATGAACAATTCAACCCCTATTTTTTGTTTTTCCGATAAATAATAATGATAAACTAAGAAGACATTATTTTGACAATTTACTTTGTTGCATCCTGCTTTTGTGGCTAAAACTCTTGTTTAGAGCATGTACTGCATTTGAATATGATGCAGTAACACTGCTGCTGTGGAGCATAAAAGCAGCTTAATCTCCTATATGCCTCTGTAGAAAGTTGGGGCTAAAATATTGAGCTTTGCAATCTTTCTAACAAATAATTAGCTTCGCATTTTTGGTTTATTTACTATTAATTTACCTTATCTACGTTACCCTGGTTCACCGGCCATCTCTTCCTTTAGGCATGTTTAGCCAAAATGTATGAATGAATGAAAACATTCACAATAAATATTGTAAACTTAAGGGAAAGAAATCAGAAAAAAATTGTGTTTTTTTTATAATAAAAAATCCTAAATCCCAACACTCATCAACACCACCATCCATCCATCCATTTTCTAACACGCTTATTCCAATTGGGTTCGCGAGGGGTGCTGGTGCCTATCTCCAGCTGTCTACGGGCGAGAGGCGGGGTACACCCTGGACAGGTCGCCAGTTCATCGCAGACCAAACAGACAGATGTTTACATATACTCAGCTTTGGCATGGTTTCAAGCTAAACTTGGGCACAGCTTAGAATTTTAATTGGCAACGATCCCCAAAACCTTTTAACATTTATAAAATTTCATAAAGAATGACCATAACTCTACTTAATATTTATAAAACTAGCTTAAAGTGTTGTGTAAAACAAAATAAATAAAATTAATATTTGAACTCCAAATTTAGAATGGTAGAAAAAAGAAAAAGAAAGAAAAAAAAATAAATATATATATATATATATATATATATATATATATGTGTGTATAGTCTTAAATAATTTATTAATTTAGTAAAATGATTTATAGAAAATTACTTATAGAACAAAATTATTCTGATGTTTTTATCTTGTCTTCTTCCTACTGGGTTGTTAGCGGGAGCCCCAGACAGTCCCGACTCCGGCCCGACAGAACCGGCCCCGGCCATGACGGACCAGCAGGAGCAAACTGCTCTGGCTCACAATGAGGAAGAAACTTTCGCGCTGGAGCCCATCGACATCACAGGTGATATTTAGATGTTGTTCAACTTACTGCAGATGCAGCAGTGTCTCAAATGAGGTCACATTGAATCTGCACAGTGAAGGAGACCAAGGCGAAGCGTAAAAGGAAGCTGATCGTAGACAGCGTGAAGGAGCTGGACAGTAAAACTATCCGGGCACAGCTTTCCGACTACTCCGACATCGTCACAACCTTAGATCTGGCCCCGCCCACTAAAAAACTGATGATGTGGAAGGAGACTGGAGGAGTTGAGAAGCTCTTCTCCCTCCCTGCTCAGTCTCTCTGGAACGCCAGGCTGCTGAAGGTAAGGAAGCATACTTCAAGGTGGCTCCACGTTCTGAGGTGTTTTTTTTTTTTTAAATATCGAGCATCTGCCATGTTTATTCTAGATGTTCACGAGATGCCTGACGCCGCTCGTCCCAGATGAGCTCAGGAAGAGGAGGAAAGGTGGGGAGGCAGACAGTCTAGATGAGTTCCTGAAGGACCTGGAGAACCCAGACGTGCCAAGGGAAGCAGGAGCTCTTCAGCAAAGAGATATCATCGGTAGAAGCTTGATATTATTAGATTTGATATTAATATCTTATTGTGTTGTTTGCTAATCATTGTTGGAACCTAAGTAAGTTTCCTTTTTGCTTTGCTTTGGGTGTGGACTTCACCAAAGTTAAGTTTTGTCATTAACCCATTTACTCACGCTGATGGTGGCAAGCTAGATTGTAGCCACAGCTGCCCTGGTGCGCACCTATGTTAGCCAGGCTGCCATACACAGGCGCCACCGGGCCGTCTGACCACCATCAGTAGGCAATGCGGGTGAAGTATCTTACCCAAGGACACAACAACATTGAAAGCTGGAGCTGGGGCTTTGGTTGCAGGTCAAACTCCTGCATCCGACACCAGTTATGAAGTTTCAGTTGAGGAAGTCCATGTTCATTCTAAAGCAGATCAGACGGGTCTGTATTTTTCTCTGCTTTTTGTTAAACATGAACTCCAGATCAGACCATCATGGAGGAAGCTAACACGGTGCAGAACTCAGCCGTGGAGGGGAGCAGGACAACGCTGGACGAAGTCGCCATGCCTCCACCGTCCTCCCAGAGAGGCCAGAAGCGCAAATCCCAGGACTCAGATACAGTCCTACCTGTAGGTTCCTCTGATTCTTATTTTTTATTTTCTTTGGCATCTCTGCAACTTTATTTCCTCTCATTCCCTTAAACCCAGACAGGAAACCTGGACGAGCAGCAGCAACAGATGCAGCAAGAGGGATCAAATGCAGCTCCTACCCAACAACTCGAAGCCACCACAGTAGATTTGCCCCCTGAAGAGACCGCCGCCAGCATCAGCCAGCTAATAGAGCTGGACTTACTAGCTGATAAGGACAAGAAGAAGAACGACGATGACTCGGATGAAGAGGTGAAAGAGCTTGACATAATGTAAAACTTTTTTAGAGATTTTTTTGTAATTCATGGCTTGAATCTAAATATGGTCACATGGTGACAGGAGGAGGAGACACAGGGAGGAGAGCAGGACCAGGAGGAGAGGAGGTGGAACAAAAGAACTCAGCAGATGCTTCATGGCCTACAGGTAAAAAAACACACTGGCTGATTGGTTTTTATGATCTACATTAACCTTGAAAGAAAGATAGATATACTTAACCACCTTGACAGCATTGTTTAATGTCGAAATCTGACAACAAATGTAAGTTTTGATGGACTTTCCTGCTAAAAGTATCAAAAGTGTTTAGATAATATGAATATAGTTGATAGATCTGTGACTGTAGCAACCAGCAACATTTATTGCTTATTTTTCAAAACTATCTCTTAAGATAAAAATAAAACTGAAAAAAAACAAAGTTTCAGTGAACCTAAGCTTTTTGTACATATTTTATCCAAAATAATTGTAGCTCTCCATAAGGTTTTAATATACACAAAAGTTTAAATCTTTCACCTAATATTTCTATATCTTTCCATTGACCAAATTCTGTTCATATTATCTAAGTAAACCGACCAGAGAAAATGGATGATTGGTGCTATAAGAGACAAGTGGCTTACCTGTTAGGATGCAAAAAATATACTACCAGAATGATGTCTGGTGGTATATTTTGATTCCAAGCGAGCAACAGTTGGAACACATGCAATCCTTTACTTCAAAATATATACAAAAAGGTCACATCACCGATTAG